AAATTCCTTCTATTGCTCTCCGATAGTCGCAGGAGACCATAATTCAGAGCTAAGAGAAACATCCTTAATCCCACGAGTATCCTACAATATAGTAGATAAATTATTCTGATAACAGATATCTTTCAACACTATAAAATATGATCGATATTATATTGAACGTGAAAATTCAAAAATGGACCTAAATACGTTTAAATCAATGTTTATTCAACCTATAACGTGAGTTGGTATATAACAAGACAAAATAAAACAAAATAAAAAATACTAGTATACTTTTTTAACGCGAAACGAAATGAAAACAAAACGAACAAACAAACAAACAAAAAGACGTATATTTTATTTCGATACGTTTAAATGTAAATACTTCGGTCTACTTTCGAAATAAACTCGTTTCCGCGATTCGTTCGGTATCCAGTTTTTCCTCGAAATAAATTGAATAACATTAAAAAAAAGATCAAATTTCTTTCGCAACTTTCGTATTTTAATTTGACATCGTTACGTTAGAATAAAATTGACGTTTTTCCATGAGAGCTTTGAAAATATTGAAATTTCTCTTATTTCCTACGAACATTAAGATAAATTAAACCGACGTCGATTATTTCGGTAAGCTACGAGTAAAACGACAGCAGGTTAACTTACTCATTTAACAATTTTTGCATTTAGAAACGTTTTGCTATAAACGTTGGAATATAATTATTTTAATTATATATGTATGCGTATAATAACATTAAACAAAGTTTAATTAATAAGATATATAATATTTAAAACGTTCTATTATATATATAAGATTTTTTTTAATAAGAAAATATATACAATATTAATTATTTCAATAGATTATTATATAAATCTTACTTATTAATGTAATTAAAAGTAAATATAAATAATAATAAAAAAAATCTTCTTCTCTCTCTTAAACGGCAAATAATTTTGTTTTTCCTATTTCTATTATTTTTCTTTTTGTTACATTAAAAATAATGAATTCGTTCTCCATTTAAAATCAAGGACAACAAATAATTCGACCATTAACAAAACAATTCGTTGAAATATTTTACGATAGCAAGTATAATCTACGAATTCTGTGGACATTAATTCACCTGACAAACGGGCGCGGACGCGAATGCATTTAACGAACTTGCGAAACGAAGTTTCAAACTGCTAACAAGGCAAACGTCGCTTCGCTTCGCGAGGAACCCGAGCAGAAAGAAAAGTACGCCTTAGCGTTGCGAAAAAGAATCGAGGGTATTCTTCGGAAAAGTCGTCCCGACGGTGGTTATCGACGGTGTCCTTCGTATGATGACGTATTTATCAAGGATACAAATTTTCTTTTATCTATCAACTTTCGGCCGAGGTATGAAAGATAAAAGAGTGATCTTTTTTTCCCCCTCCCTCCCTCACTCCCCCACACCATATTTTCTTTCATTTAAGATTATTTCATGCTTTTCAGCACACATATCAAAAGATGCAGACAATTACAAGTTTTTAAATTAAAATTATGCTTATTGTTAATTTAGAGCAACATTCGTCGAACCGTATATTTTGTTCGTAAAGTAAAAAAAACAAAAAGAAATAACAATAAAGATAATAATAAAAAGGAGATTTGCATCGGAGAAAAGAGACGGCTAACAAAACATGCGCTACCAATTTACACACAGTAACTGTGTTTCTGTTTATTCCGCCCACTACTTGTGACTCGCCCAGGTATGCTCTTTTGTTGTATGAATTAATGAAACAAAGGAACCGAGAAGTAGAATAACTGCGGAACAATATCGCCGTGTTCTTCGATAGTCTTATTTACTTTTGAACTTCTTTCGTAATCCAAAATAATATTATCTGCAGTTTATAAATTGCATAATAGAAGTTAAATCTATAATTATGCATCTTATGTATAATATAAATTTGACAAAATATTGTTGAATATAAAAAAAAATGTAAAACAACGTTTATAATTAAAATATCGTACATTTCAAACAAATACTTATTTTCACTCACTCAAATAATATAATCTAGCATTTGAAAACAAACAAATATATTTATTGCAAATCATGAATAATTTAAATATATTATACATACTTCAATGATTTCTAAATTCGTAAATTATTAAATATAGGACACCGTACAAAATGCACGTAATGTTGTCTACATCTGTTCCCGGTCGAAAAATGAGATTTAAACGTAGGATAAAAATGCGAAGACGAAATAATATATAGTAGGAGGATTCGCTTAGGAATGCGGATAGGCTAGAAAGCAAGCCAGGTCTGTCTCTTGAGTTCTCGAGCAGCCGTTGCACGTGGGTAAAACACGCGCACACCGTCATCACGGATACGTCGAGCAGTTGTGAACAGAAAGACGGATATCGGCGTTTCGAGAGACTCCAGAGATCCGGTCTTCTCGTTCTCTCGCGAAATCATCTCAAACCAACCCGTAGATCTTTGGATAAGGTTTCTCTAGGTATGTGCATGTCGACAATTCAATTCATTGTTTAATATAGAATACGAGAAAAAAGAAACGAATTTGACATCGTCGTTTCTATTTTTACTTCCCTCTCTGTATCTATTTCCTATTTTTTTTTTCTTTTTTTTTTTATTGTTGAATTCAAGTCGTTAATTAAATTTCGCGCTATTTCTATCTCAATTTACGCGTACCAATATTGCGATGAAGAATAATACACTATACATAAAATACATATGTATGTATATTCGATTTTTACATATATATATATATATGAACACATTTTTTTATACGCCTCTTGCATTTTACCAATTTTTTTTTTTCTTTCTTTTTTTTTCTTTTTTTTTTTTAATATTTTCTATATTTTTTCTTTATTTTTATTTTATCATTTTTTTTTTCCCTCCCTTTTTTTTCTCGTTACAAAGCGATCGTGTTCGATGTAATCGATAGAAACGTATCGAACGAGTAACGTGCGAATGGCGTAACCGACGCGACCAATGGCGGAAGAGATTCGTTGCATTCTCGTGACCTTAATATAAAACGTGAATCGAACCGGTACGAAAGATAATACACAACGATCTAACCGGAAATTTTTGACTCCCTTTTTACTTCTCGTAGATATTTTCTTGAAATTGTGTACGCAAACTGGGAAAAAAATAAAAAAAAAAAAAGATATACTACAATGAAAATATTTTCCCATTTTCCATCCGATTTTATTAATAAACGCGTGCGTTCGTTATAAGTCAATAATAGAAATTAGTATCGGTTGTTCGTGTTCGTTACTGAAAATACCGGTTTATTAATCGAAAGTAATGTTTTATACGAATTTATACGAATATAACGATCTAATTCCAAAATATGTTGTATTACAATCGCTTTCGTACATTCGTTGAGAGAATAATAATGACTGAGGTATATGCTATAAGTTAAATTCACAATAAATTATGGTCGATAATTACAATAAATTCATTGGGAATTAATAAAATTTACGAATAAACACGTTTTATAATGATACAAATATGAAAATGATTCGAAACATAGGTTGAAATATTTCGTCGATAATATAACAAGCATGTGCGTATTATAAAAATACGATAGAATTAGAAGATAGAAACTTTGGGAATGTATTCATAATCAATTTAATATTATTTCCAATAGAGTTGAAATATTTACAAAAGTTCGACAATCGATAATTCGACGAATGGAAGTCTGCATTCATGCAAAGGAAAATATTTTTTAATATTTCTAATAATTGTCACAGTAAATTATATATATATATCATTAAAAAGAACATATCTTTTCAATAATTTATATTCGGACATAATTTTATATTAACTTTTTCATCTATTTCATTTCAATCGTAGTATACGTATGTGATCTGAACCATTTGTGAACACCCTACATGTGTATACACATATGAAAATGTTTTATAATTTTTCCTGCTGGATTATTTACACAAAAATGAATTAACGAGAACGAAATTAAAAGTATGAATTAAAATTGAAACGTATTCAGATCCCATTGAAAGATTTCCATGTATATTACAGGCAAGTATGAGAACTTTTTGTAATCTCTCTGTGTTGTCTGATCTATTCACTAAAAAAGAATATAATGAGAAGGTGACTAACATATGAATGGAAATATGTCGGACAAATCCAAATCTAAATCCTATTAAAGGATTTCGATGTTGAAGTTCATTCTTGGAAAAGACGTGAACACTTTTCTCTCTCTCTCTTTTTCTCTTATGCCCTCTCACTCACAAAAGTGCAACGTCCGTGTCGATCGGACAAGAACTTCAACTTATTATCGACACTTTCGCAGACCAAGTCTCTCTAGCACGAACAAAGAATCATTGCTTCTCGATAATATGTCCGCATTCCTCGATACGATAGTACATAATGTTATTATTATTATTATTATTCTATAATTGTCTTGTATGCATAACGCAATATTCATATCTATATCTATATATATATATATATATATAATATTGGTTACATAAAATTAAGACCAATCGTTTTCACCGTTCACCTTTTAACAGGTTTACTTTTTTCCAACGATCCTGTTACGTTGATTCTTCATCGTTGGTAACTTAGTCGATGAATATTATTTTAAATTTCGTTGATATATACCATTATTGTTAAAGAACTTTAAGATTAACATTCGGGACGTGCAAATATGGCGCCAAATTTGCCAAAATTATATTGCTTAACTGTTGCCAATCGAACGATAGTCGAATTTTAGATTGTAACTATCGAAATACATAAGAGAAGTGACAAGATCGATCCATCGTTTATCGAAAGAGAAGAAGAGAGACAGAGAGAGTGAAAACAGAGAAAGATGATCGTAAATAACAAGAATAATCATTATTTTCGATAAAAAATATACCGTTTAGTATAAAAAAAAGATATATCGCGAATACGAAGCGACACGAAGTAACACGAAAATAAGTGTGTAATAACTTGGCGGTTTAGAGATAGAAGAAAGAGTGTAAGAGATCGCAACAACAAACATGGTCACGTGACATTAGATACGAAAAGTATACATATACTCACACCTCAACGTTGCCTTCCGCATCGATCGAGATCCAAGTAGTAATCTAAAAAAGTCCTCGTCAAGGTTGGGGCAAAAGAAAACGAAGGAGCAACCGGATGCTGTGAGAAGAAGGCTTCTTCTTCGTACTTCGTGGAAGACTCGAACACACTCTTCGTTTCTCCGATAGATTTTCTTCGAAGGATGGCACGGAAGACGAGAAAAAGAGAGATAACAGACGGATAGAAAGAGATAGAAAAGGGAGAGAGAAAAGGGAGAGAGAAAAGGGGAGAGAGAGAGAGAGAGAGAGAGAAACAAACAGATAGACAGAAAGAGAAAGAGAGAGAGAGAGAGATAGAAAGGAAGAGAGAAATAGGAAAAGGGAGAGGGAAAGGAAGAATGTGACACACGCGAAATAATAACGAGAGAGTCGGCCGATCATACGAATTTACTATTTAGCGAAAAACGTGAATGCGTCGACGAAACGATTAAATATCCGTGTCACCGTCGTCGTCGTCGTCGCAGGGATACCGAACGAACCAGCACCGGCGTCACACGACGCGATCTCATCCCTACGACGGAGCACGGATGACTGACGGACGGTTCGGTCCACCCCGCCGAGTGAGTTTACTGCGCTCGCCGTCTATCCCCCACTCCTTCCGTTACTCCCCACTCCAACACGAGCGTCGACTCTCCTCAACTACCCCCACCACTTCGCTACCCATTGCAACGCAGCGCGCTCTCAGTCTCTCGACGACCGTTCGACTCTATACGTCTTTTCTCTTTTCTTCTTTCTTCTATCCTCAAATCTCCTCTCTCTCTCTCTCTCTCTGTCCTTATTTCTCTCTCTATCTTTGCACCTTCGCTTTTCAAAAGGAAAAGAGACAGAATACGATAGCCGTATGGACAGCAACGAGTCAGGTTGAGGATGTTCTCAGTATCGTCGTAATGTTATTACTACGATCCCACAATCGTATATTTATCTCTTGCTGCTACAGAATAATCTTGTTTTTTATTAACGATAAGTTATATTATTTTTTCAATTTTTCTCCCTCTCCTCCTATTTTTTCCTCCTTATGTACTTTACTTTTCTTTCTTTTTCTTTTTTTTTTTTTTTATATCGCTTCATTTCCTTTCTCTCTCTCTCTCTCTCTCGCTATTTTTCCCTTTACTCGTCAACGAAACGACGAAAAGAGACGGGAGAGCTCCCGCCGGATATTTGACCCAGAAAAGGCACCGTCGCGAACCGAGGGAAAATGATTTCCCGTTTATGACTCGTAGGAAGTTGTCGGTTTTTTTTTTTGATATTATGAAAGTCAGGGGTTACGGAGATATGGAATTAGGCAGGATTTTTGAAAAATTGTTAGATTTCTCGTATAATGATTGATATTCGTGTATGCGCTCGTATTCTATAGGAAAGAAAATTAGACGATAAAATTTCGAAGATGAAATATATTATAGTTGAAATTTATCGAAAAGTAGTTATATAGTAGTATAGGTAGAGAAAGGATCGATTCTTTCCGAGTTTTATGATTTAAGAGAGTATGACATGAAGGGTTCTGGAAAATCTTGAATCGTTCCTGAAAGTTCCGGCGCAAACTCGTCTCTTTTTCCTTTATTCTCGTATCTCCTCTCTTTTATTCGTTTGGACGTAGCCACCAGCCACGTTGGTGAACTTGGAACGTTAGAATAAGTAGCGGCATCCAAACCTTTCTCTCTCACTCTTTTATCCGTTCTTTTTCCTTTCCTTTTCTCTACAGTATAGCAGTACGGGTAAGAGAGAAAGAGGGACAAAGAGAGTACGAGTGGGAGTGAGAAAGGGTAAGTTTAAAAGAGAAAGAGGGAAAAGAAGTAACGGCGCTACAAATACCTAAACGAACCTTAAAAAGAATGAGAGAGAGAGAAACTTCCTGGTTCTTTCTTCCACTTTTAGTCTTGTCTTGATTGTGGTCGTAGTCGTCATCGTCTACGTCGATGTAACCGTTGTTGTTGTCATCGTCGTTGTCGTCCTCGTCCTCGTCGTCGTCGTAGCATGTTTTCCTGTTACATTTCCACTGAAGTACGCATGCGTGCACAATCCCTTCCAACGTTTAGACAATGCGGTAATAAAATTTCCTTATCCCTCCATCGTGAAAATCGATGCTACGGTGGGGAGCGCTGCGCAATCAAACGTCTTTTATAAGCTAAAGTATTATTATGAATTTAATAACGCTCAGCTTTACGGTAAACTTTTACCTTAGCGGTGTCCAAAACGCTTTAGACTTAAAGCGCGTGCAATTTTTAATTAAATGTAATCATAATATCCTCTAACGCCACTATACCTATTCGTACCTTTTTAAAGTCAAATAAACGGGGAAAAGAAAGATGGTATAATAAAAGATTGTAGAGAAACAAAAAGTTATATAAAAGAGGTAAGAAATGAAATGGGAACGCGAATTATTTCGTAAAAATGAACTAATTCTATAAGTTATTACTTAATGAATATTTCTTTTTATCTTTAATGAGATCGAAAAATAATTTAAATCCGATTCGTTTTCCTTTGACATGTACAAAATGTTTTAATGGTATGTTTGAGAAACAGATGGTTAACGACGAGGATGCGTAAACATATATGCTTGAATAAACGAATGCCTATTACCTACTCTTTGCGTGACTTCACAATCGTGCACGCACGAACGCATGTTATTCTAATAACATTCTCTTATCTTTCTAGACAAATCCGAAATGTGAAATACACGCGTTTTTGTGTACAGATTTAAATCACTTCTGTATGTACGTGAGATAACGTTTTTGGTAAATTGTTATCACGCGTTTGAACTTACTAATTGAAAGACGAGTAACGCATAATAATGTAAATTATTAAAATGTCTTTTTTTCGTGACAGAGGTCGGTGACATTTAATTATAAAACATTTGTACAATTTACATTATTCCCCCCTTTTATACTTTTCTTTTCCAAAGTTGTTTTTTTCTTTTTCTACTTACATTAAATTCTTTGCTATTTGATTATAAATATTTTCGCAAGAGTATATCTGTGAAAATTAACTCTCTTCGATAAAAACAATTAATTTTCGTAACATTCGTTGCATCGAATGTCATTTCGTGAAGCACCCCATGCTCATTATTTAAATAATCTTTCATATCATCATATTTACAATTCTATAATTATCGAACCATACACTTGTTGATATTTGAATTAATCAAAATATAAATAAATATATACATATATATATATTTTAATAAAAAATAATATTCCCAATAAAAATAATGATTATCATAGTTTACAAATATGTATGTATAATACATAGATCGAAAATCAATCTGAAGTAATTTATATGCCCGATCATCGTTGGAAGAAGACGCGAGAAGCATAGTTGATCGAATGACATGCTAACAAAGATCGAAGAAGGGAAATTCCGTTCGATATCCGGCTGGTCGTATAAGCATAGATAGTGATGCGGCACACTGACGCCTTTTTCGTATCATCATTCTCGTTTTCTCCATCTTCTTCCTTATCGAATCGATATCGTCAACCGCCCTCCCTCCTCCCCCACCCCACTGCTATCCAAGACTAGCGTCGCCTAAGACGACGAATTAAAGCCGAACGAGGTGATCCGGGTGGTGGATGGAAGGAGGAAGGTCTTGGGATAATGGAGAGACGAGACGCATTTCGCCACTGGATTTTCGGGGCTGGATGATCTTTCAAGCCGAAGGTAGTAAGTAATCCTCGTCTTGTCTCGTATAACATTGTCTCTTTACGTAATAATGATAATAAATAAAATATCAATTACGCGCTTTTTATCATCCTTCGAAAATTTCCTAATTTATTATTTTTCTCCTTCTTGTGTCTTCCGATTGTTAACATATCTCGGTAATATAAAGTCCCCTCCCTCCTCTTTAAGTGCACATTATTTAATTAATTCATAATTTTACAAATATATTTTTGTTACCTTGTAAGAGAGAAATATTTTATACATTTATCTTATTTCCACTGACTTTCTTCTATTAAATGCTAAAGCTTTTTTTTCCATTCATAGTTTTACATATTTAAAACCTGTGTAAATTTGTATTATGCAAACTATACGATTAAAACTATGACTCGACATTTCTTTTTTTACTTTCTTTCTTTCTTTCTTTTTTTACTCTTTTGAAAAACGTTACATTATATATATTTTTCTCGTTGCTCGGTTTAGACGTTTCTTTCTACATTTACTTTTAGGATATTTTTGTATTTTATCTACTAATTTTATTGATTTTCAAGCGCAACGTTTTCATGTAACACGAGGAAGGCAGAAGAACAGTCACGAAAAAGCAAAAGTTTAGAGAAGGACACGTAATTAACTTTTTAAAAGTTTCTCACTTCCGAAATTTTTGGAACGTGCCGTTAAAGTTACATCAACCACGAACGATGTGATACTTTCGGAGAGCCAACTCGTGTATTACGTCCGTCGTCGTCGTAGTCGGCTGGAAATTGTTCAAAGTTTTCGAAATCATTTCAGCGAGGAGAAAAAGGAAGACAAATGAAAATAAAAAAGAATGATCCTGATTGATGCAATAAAATATAAAAGGACAATTGTTTCAATCGTTGATAGAGGATTCTTTTTGTTTTTTATTTTGTTGTGTTACATGTAGTATCTTTACAAATTAACACTACTTTACTTTACCTTTTTTCGATAAATCTTTTACACGAGAAAGCCTCCGGTGATTCTTCGCCCTAATTATTTTTCTCTCTCTCTCTCTCTCTTTCTCTCTTTGTTTCTCTCCTTGTTTCTCTTTATCTTTCTTTTACTCTCTTCCGTTTCCTATTTCGACCAACGATATTTACGATCCATGTTTTTCTACTCCAAGGAATTTCATTATCGGTGAAACGTCAACAAGTCCCTTTCGTAGCCCTTTCGGACAGTAGTACGTTCCATGTACTCGTCTTTTCTAAATTGCTTAGATACAAGTGCATGAGAGAATAAAAAACAATAGTAGTAAGAAAAGAAGCTCTTTATATACTTACTTTAATACTCAGCTTCTTTTTTAATGCCACTAAAACTGCGGAGAAAACATCCGTGCAATTTTCTTCCGTCTCACGTTCTCGCAGCTTAATATTTTTGTTATCTTATAAGAGAGAGAGAGAGAGAGAGAGAGAGAAAAAGAGAGCAAACAAAATAAGAGATATTTTTTTATCTAAACTGTTTAGCATTCTAAATGAAAATAAATGAAAAATTATAATAAGTAATATTTTTCAATGAATCAATTAAGATTAAAAAACACAAGTATAAATGTAAATTATAATAATATTTAT